ATGTACCTATGTACATATTATCTGTCATCATACATTAATACTATAGTTCTCAATTCATTTCATATTTTAATGGATGAAGTGAGACAAATCAATTACTCTTGTTATCTACAATATGGTTGGCAACATTTAATGCGTGATAATCATCAATGATGTAGATTAGTTTGTTGAGGTTTGTTTTGCTTGTTTGGAAAAATCGATGTCACTCTTGAAACTGTCATCCTTGTCACTCACTATATCTCTACTAATTACCAACAACTGGAATGTTTTTTTTCTCTCTGAGTTTTAATTTGCGTAGAATCAAGTATGTACGTGTGTGTGTGTGTCTGTATATATATATATATATATATTTATAGTTATGTACTGTGTGTATTTACATATAAATTCATCACCATCTATCTATATCATCGCCTTGATTTTGAATAGTGATGAAAAGATTTCAATGCTTAAAGGGGAATTGATCATTGGATTGGTAAGGCTATTGAAAGTTGATTGAACAAATGATTGAGAAAAAGAAAATGGAATCAATGAGTACACAGTAGTCAACCTATAAAGTCAAACATAGATGGAGAGAAAGGAGAGATGAGATTAAGTGAATGAGTGAGCAGCTATGTATGTATATATATATATCTATACGTGTGTGTATTTGAATCAAGATTAGTATTATTATTATTATTAGACTGAAAACACATTGGCATACATACAAAAGTTTAGTGAAACAATATGTGAGGGAGAGAGAGAAAAAACGAAGTCAACGGATTGAGCATGGATTTCTGTGACTAAGAAAAAATACAAAATTTCAATCTCTTTTTCATACCAAAGTATGAATTGAGTTTAGATGCAGAGACAAACACGCAGAAGAAAGAGATAGTGAGGGGACAGTGTATAAAAATGAACAACACCACCAACAACAACACATTTGAAAGCTACCGCTGCCTCCCCCTTCTTTTTATCAACAAAAAAAAACTCAAAGAAGGAAAAATGAGAACAGATTTTTCTCATTTGCAGATTACAACTAATTTTATTATAGTTTGTACTCCCTTTGGTACACTGTTCTTGTATATAAATGCATATGTGTATGTAGAGATTTTACAACTCCCTTGTACACTGTTTTTTATTTTGCTCAAAAAAAAATAAAAGATCCTACACATCAGCAACTCTCATAGTCATATATTGTCTTTCACAATTGTACTGATGCTCTGCTTTCTGATCATTTTTAATATTGAATAACAAAGAAAAGTATACAACATTAAGAGGATATATTTTTTAAATTGACAATTTAGTAGTTGGATTATTTCACTGTTATTATTACTGGAAGGATTTTAAAAAAAAAACTCTATGTGATATTACGTTTCTCGTAAGTGAAATTTTTTTGTTTTTTAAAAAAAACGTTAATTTGTTAATGATTATTTTGGTTACTGTTATTCCGTGTACTTCGTACATATTTTGTTGTAAAGCTAACTAGATTTTAATGTCATCTTATTCGCAGTCATTTATTTTTAATGGATATTTAAGTGGTCCACTCATAATCAAGGATTAAGTTGAACAAATGCTTGAAATAATTCCATTTAAATCAGAGAAAGAAAAAAGGACAGTGTCATTGAAGTGATTGTCAATCATAACATGATTGGCCCAAGTGTGACGTGATTTTTTGTGTAGTTTCATGTTTTTTTGAAAATAAACTTGCTTACTTTTCTGAGTTTTATGATTTAGTTGATAGGACAAAACAAGTTTCCGTTTGTATGATATAATTCCGTTACCTTAAGCATTTTGTTTATCTTCGAAGTATCCAGTGACAGAAGGTTAATTTTTAAGTATTACAAAATAAACTGTTGTATACCAGCTCAGTGACCTAGAAAATTATTATATGCTCAATAGTACCTCTTTCCGTGAGGAAATTTCCCCGAGTTACATTGAGAAGTCATGACCAGTAGAGTTTCACCCTGTAAGATATGGGATAGTGTCCAACGAAGACAATGGATTAGGTCGTGCAAGGCCTTTGGTTGATTGAAGTTGGATGCCAACTCAGTGGTTTAGAGATTAAGCCTTCACGTGCGAGGCCGAGGATCCTTGGTTCGATCCCCGAGAGCGCGAGTTGTGAACTAGCACTGTTGAAGATTCCTATACAAGATGAGACGATTGTCAAGTGCCTCCAGATTTCTAATGGTGGTCTAATGATTACTGATTCATGATGTCAATAAGAAACAACAGTCTTCACAACTCTATAATGAAAAATAACAATAAATATGTACAAACTAACTGATTATTGTTGGAGTGTTCACTCTAAAATGTACAAAATCACTGAGTACAGTCACTAACAAAAATTACTTAAAGTTTAAACCATTAAATGAATACAGAAAATCATTTTTCGATTAGTATTTATTCAAATATTCATTTACTTATTATTGATATTATTATCTGTAGTACTCTGTATAAACAGATAGTGTTTAACAATTGCAATCGAAGTAATTACACAGCTTAGTATTTCCTAATTAATTTGTATTATTGCTATGAATGTATTCACTTTTTGTGACTATTATATTGGGATAATTCTTGTCATATTTTCTTTATCTGTTCATTTTATATAAAATTATCCCTGACTTATTATCAGGGAAGAATTTGATCCTCTAGTTAGTCCACCTAGATAAATAGATTGCTCTTTCTCTCTCTCCATCTTAAACTTTGTCATGATATACACACTGATTTTCGCCAATAAATGTAGACAAATCCAACAGAAAACAAGTTGACACCGCTATATCTCAAGAAGTTTAATGGTAATATCCCTATAGAAGACCTATGATATTTGACAGTTATTTCTGTCGAGTATTTTAAGATGGGTTAATGACGGATGATCCGTTCACTTTTACTACATACGGATTACATGCTTTATTTTTTGATCGAAATGACTTATCCAAACAGAATTGATTTATAGACTTTAAACTTCACCTAGAATACTGATGAACTTAAGCTACCAATCTTTCGAATACTGATTTAGTAACACTTCTACATTATATAGGACATTTGATTGTACACTGTATTTAACTTCAGTCATTATAATTTGTTTTAGATTAGCAATCATTGCATAGTTTCATTCACTTTCCAATGATATTTGTAATTTGGACATTTATGTTGTTTTATTTGAGAATGAAATACTAAGTTGACGTAAATATTCGTTTTAATAATTATGTGTGTTATTCGACTTCGAGTATTATAAATTATAATGCAGTAAATGATAACACCATTGTAGTTTGTAAAATATGTCTCACAAAAACCATTGGAACTCATCACAATTTACTTTAGAAATCGTAGTTTAAAAAATAATGATTATTATCATATATATGTAATAATACAAGTTTACTTTTCATTATCAAAATCTGAGTTTTTAATGTTATATAATAATTTACATGTTTTGAGTAGTTTGGGTTATCCATTTCATTTTTTAAATTCTGTTTTCCTACTTAAAGCTAAATATTTAGTTAAATTATCAATCCGACTACGGATTATGATTTAAAACAGTTTAGTTTGAGAAGTTGTATTTTCCTTTATTGAGCACTGAACAACTCAACTTTCCGACTAGTTTGAAAGTTTAAAATTCACAACATTTTACACTTTCTTTTTTTAATAAATCAGTTAGTAACACTTGTGGTTAGACTTAAAAATAATTGCTAAATTAAATTAATAATCAAAAAAATTTTCCTAATTTTTTCAATGTGGACATCTCTTGTTGAATCCTAATCGAATTGTGTATTGTTAAATTCTCTTAGGAATTAATTATTGTTGATTTTCATTGACTTTATGTTATCTAACAAGCACAATGACATAAAATGTGTTTGTATTAAAACGTAAAAATTTTTTTGAAAATTGATTAGATTAGTAAAATTATTATCAACAAGACAACAGGAAAGGGCGAATGATGATGATTATGATTATGTTTAGAGGGTGTTGATGTTTTCTTCTTCAACCAGTTAATTGAACTAGTTTGCTTTTATTTATGTTTGTTATTGGGAAGAAAAAGGCGAGCCGAATTGCAGCTGGAATGTCATAGTATAGAACTGATTGCTAAGAAATTTGATACTTAATATCAATCAAATCATCTTATGATCGTTGGCAAGTTATACGGTGAAAAATATTGTGTTAGAATGTTATTTATAGCAAAAGTAAAGTTCATTATATCATTCGAGTGATGGATTTCTAGAGATCAGTTCAAATTGAAAGTAGTCTTCCATATGAAATGATATCCTTTAGAGGACCATTCTAATTCAGTAAATACAAAATATCGATTAACTCTACACTACATGTGTGTTTTAACTATGTATGAGATAGATCGTTGGATTAGTAGTTAAAGTGTTCGAGTTTTAACCACTAAGTTAAATGTTGGAACCGGACTTCTCGTGCTTTGGCTTATTTGACTGCATTATATTATCAACTCACATACTCAGGGTACCGTTTGAAGCCAAGCACGAGAATCTATACTTGGTAACTGAATCAATCTAAAAAGATAGTATAGATATGAATATATCAATATCTGGTTGCTACCATTCTACCATAGACTATTATATCAGGAAATAATTAGACTTTTAAAACATTCAATAATCAAATTGTATATTTTCAACCTTAAAGCTTAAAGAGCATAATCTCAAGACTAAAAATATATTTCAAAAGAACTATAGTCATATCAATCATGCAAAGGCATCTTGTGATAAATAAGAACAAACTCTTTTGTACGTATCATACTTTCATTCCATGGATTGGTATTGAGCAAGCAATCATTGAAAATTGGCGTACACTAACGAGACGTTTCATCGCAGTACAGAATTCTTCGTCAGTGTACATCCATGATCCTATAGAGGATTGAATCTAAAACTTTTACCATCACAAAATTCTCTAATGACATTTATTATGTTCGTCCTTTTATTCTTCCATCATAATAATACTATTTAAATGATTATCATAATTTTTTTTCTAGAAATTGAAGTGAATTTCATCATTGATATTTGAAACAAATGAATTCAAACCATTTAATGGCGTATAATTCTATGACAATTCTACCAGAATCATCATATCATTTTGATGTTGAAACAATGAAACATTATAATAATTCCAACATTACTACTACTACTAATAATAATAATAATAATAATAACAATAATAACAAAATATCCGATTCTTATTCCTTATTTTCAACAAATTTTCTACGAACAAATAAAAACTCATTTCAAAATAATAATCACAATAATAATAATAATAATAATAATAATAATAATAATAATGTCACATTTAACTATGATAATCAAACAGAACAATTTACAAATTTTGACACATTCACATCAGATAAACTATTCACGAATAATACTTGTAGAAAGAATAATTTTTTAAAAAATCTTCCAATTCATCAATCTGTAGTTAATTTAAATAGTTTGAAATTGATAAATCATGATAAAGTAATGAATGATAAACAGATAGATGAGAAAAGAACACTGTTATCTAATTCAAATGATATCAATGGTGAGTTCATTTTATTTTCACGAACATTGATACTTGAACAATAAGCTAAAAAAAGTAATTCGCATTTTTGTTTAAAATCAGTTATTTGAATATTTTAAATGATACAAAGATTAGTGTCATTCAATTTATCATAAATAGATCATTTTTGTTAATTTAAAAATACTTAAAACTTTAATGAGATAAGTATTGAACATTTACACTACTTTTTTTATGAGTGGCTAATAAAGATGCAAACAAATTCTAGGGAAAGACAAAAACTTAAGATAATTTCACGATGCTAACTTTTGATAGATATTTGATATTGCTGACATTATTACTGTGATAATTTTATTTGTATAAAACTTTTATGTGACATGGATTCATGAACAAAAGTCTACTAATCAATAGAGAAATAAAAATGCTGACCTGCATGAAACTCATGTTGAATAAAATCTATTTTACATAACTTATGATTGAAAAGTAGATTGAGAATGATAAGAAACGAGACATATATATTGTGGTATATTTAGTCAATGATTAGTGGTAGGATTTATCATGTAGATAGTTGGATGTACCTGTATCCCAGTACTGATGTTCACACTGAGAGATCCGAATGTAGAACCTTTCATTTCAAACGTCAGTGCATTATTTAGTGAGCTGCTGAGTTCAAATAGTCACTAACTAGATCAACGAGTATGCAGTTATCGACAAATGTTCATAATTTCTTTGTTGTTGATACTCAATACTGCAGTTAGTTAGTCGACTTGTAGAGATTAGTTCAACTTAATGATAATTTTCTTCACAGGTTGATATTAATTGAGGTGCCATTGAAAATCATGAAGAATCAGACACATGCTTCATCTTCGCTTTAAACTTTACAGTAGTAAACATTCATCACTTCAAATGGTGTCGATAGTATTCCATATACAATCAGTCCGTGACAATAAGTTTCTACCTCAGTTTGATAGAGATTTCATAAACCACAACTTTTGTTGTGAAAATCCGAAATCTTTTTACATAGTTTTTTAATTTAGAATTGATAATAACTATTTCAAAATTATAGAAATCACCCTAACTGATGTATTTATTTCAATTTACAATAGACTAACTAATTGTTTTATTCAATTCATTCTTCATTTTATTTAGCACCAAAAGATTTACGAATTCGTAAACAATCACGTTCAAATACCAATCCTATACGTTACAACAAGCATAAATTAAAACAATCTTATCTGAGAAAAGAGAATATAAAAAATACTAGCAGATTTTCAGATAATTTAATTACCATGCATAACAGTCTGTATGCTAACATGAATAGTCATGTTTCAAATTGTAAGATTCCTTCTGACATTCATGGTGGAAATAATTTTGATAATAAAAACTTTAATTTCTCAAATTCATTACCAACTAATAATAATCATTTATTGAATTCATCATACAACTCATTATTTCCCAATTCTTATATTGGATTACAACAATATCCCATGTTCACATTTAACAATGGTACTGTGGGAACTACATCATCAGATAATCATCTTCTGATCAGTTCACCTAATTTACAAAGTGATCATTTTAATCAAATTCTTTCTCAAACACAAATTTCATCACAATTTCATCAATATTGGCTTCAAATGATCAATACACCTACATTGCCGTCAGCAGTTTCATCGACGACTGCGTCATCGGCGACAACAGCAACTACGCATTTTGATATGCCATCATTAACATCAACCACAACTTTACCATCACAACAACTGCCTTCATTACCAATGACACAAAATTTGAATACATCAAAACTTTCACCATTCAATTTTATGCCAAATGAATTACAAACATTGAGTTCATTATTTTATCAAGCTATTAAACAATTACAAATTAATAATCATAATTTACCTGTAAATATTAATTCATTAGATCAAAGCAATCTTAATAATATGTATACAACAATGATAAATGAAAATCTAACATCAATAAATCAGAAACAATCAAGAATTCAACTTGGCGATATTAAAGACAATGAAATGAACAATTTCCTTGAAAGTAAATTTAACGAATCTAATTGTTTTACATCATTAAAACATCTGAATCATACTACATTGAATATTGATCACGCGCATAGAATGAATAGAAATCATGATACTAGTGTCACTGATTCACAAACGTTTATCAATCAATCAAAATTGAAAAATAAATCATTAAAATCACATAAATTATCACAATCAACGCAGAATAATTTCAATTCACAAGTTATTGAACACAATGATAATCATCAGAAAAAGAAGTACACTAAAACAAAGGAAGATGTGGATAGTGCAGATGATGTTGAAATGAATGGAGAAAATCAACTTGAAGTTAATGAATTAGACGGCTGTGAGGACGATGACAACGATGACGATGATGATGATGATGATGAAGAAGAAGATGATGTTGACGATGTTGATGAAGGCGAAATTATATTAGATTCTAAACATCATCCTGAAAATATTCCAATGAATATTTTCAAGTGTAATTTATGTAACAAGTATTTTGCTACTGCACATGGTTTAGAAGTACATGTTAGAAGGTTAGTTAATTATAAGCTATTTACAGATTGATACAAATATTTTCTAAATAACATTTAAGCTGTTTTAAATATATTTACTTCATGGATCTAGCGAAACACTTAAAATTGTCATCAAATCATTCTATCTATTTCAATATTTCTTACGGTCAGGTGTTTTGGGATATTTATGACATGGTTTACTACTAAAATTGGAGGCGATATCCAGTCATTCAAACTAATAATCCAATAGCAACTTGATCGATAGAATTCCATCAGCGCTAAAGGATTAGACGTTCGTAATCTGTTGTATATATCTCACGGCATCAGAATATTAATTACGGCTCTATACTCATAGGGGGCAAAAAATTCTTTTAAATTTCCTCAGTGTATATATTCTACAGATCTAACTAAAGAATATAACCGATAAATTAGAACATTCTCAACAAAACCCTTTCAACTAGAAACCACAATAGTTAGATCGCTAATAACCTACATCACGATGTTCCTACAGTACTAGTGAGTATTTGTGACTGGTAGAGTGCAGATTTATCATGAATGAAAGAATTTTCTACAATAAAATTAGATAATCGTTGCACTGTATTAGTAGTTCGACTGAAGTTGAACTCCTGTTGTTGGGTGCCAATCTTGTAGTTAAAATGGTCAGGTAGCCATCACGTTAACTGAAGGTCCTGGATTTGATCCTCAGTGGGTCATCGATGAGTACTACCGAGGATTCCTACTGATGCTAAAAAGTAGTTGTCCAGTACTCTCTAGTTTTTAATGATACCTCAACTGAAATCAGTCTGTAACTATTAGAACCTACAAAATTTTAAAATTATTCAGGAAATTAATTAATAATGTTAGATGCATTTTCGAAAATCAAAGTTATTTTAGGCAAGCAACAGTTTTTTTTTAATATAAAACTACTTCAGTTAAAACGGTAAATAACAGAATGTAACGTAACTTTTTCGCTTCACGTTTTGACATTGACATTCTTCTTGTAACACTGATTAGTTATTCACATGAGCATCATTTATTTTTTAATTTTTCTCATTTTTATTCTATTGAACAGATCACACAATAATGGTAAACGTCCATTTGAATGTCAATTATGTCAAAAAACATTTGGTCATGCTACCAGTTTATATCAGCATGAAAGTGTACATTGTCAAGATAGACAATTTCAATGTGCTCAATGTGGCAAAACATTTAAACGTTCATCTACTTTGAGTACACATTTATTGATACATAGTGATACACGTCCTTATCCATGTCAATATTGTGGTAAACGTTTTCATCAAAAATCTGATATGAAAAAGCATACATATACACATACTGGTAAGTTGATAGTACCCTAAAAGATTACATTTGTAATAATATATTTAATCATGAGCAGCTAACTGTTCAGTGCCAATGAATTGATTGATGATTTCAAATGTGTAAAAACACAAATCTCCATAACTCTAATTGATAATATCGTAAAATGTGCTCACTTGTGACTAGCTTCGTGAAGAAATTCTCGGAGTTCTAGTGAGAAGACGTGACCAGTGGAGTTCAACCATGTCGGGTGTAGGCAGTAACTACCAAAGACAAATGGGTGAGGTCGCGCGAAATCCCTTGATCAATCAGAGTTAGACATTAACACCGTTGGATGCCCAGCCCAGTGGTCTAGATTTTAGGCATCTGCACACAATACCGAAGGTCTCTGGTTCGAATCATACGAGGTGCAGGAGTCGTGGATGCGCACTGTTGATGAGTCCCATACCAGGACAAAACGGCCGTCCAGTGATTCCAGGTTTCCAATGGTGGTCTAACAATGATTGATTGATGATTTCAAATTTGTAGAATTCTATAGTCTCGTTTTCGATTCCAACTAGAATCTTTAGAATTGATGTTAGATTAGAAGTTCTGTACTAAGACGACATAGCAATCCAGCTTTTCCAAGTTTTCAATGGTGTTTTGTGATTCAAACAGTGAAGATGTTACAGATAATATTACTACGAAATATTAAAAATCCTTTGTAATCACAAATTCTTAGTCTTAGTCTAATAGTCATAGATTTGTTTAGCTTACAATAGTGTGTGTTTTAAAGTTCACTTCAAGCATTTTCAAGGCTAGATAGAAAGACTGTTTAAAATCATAGGCAACATTTTTTAATTCGATCCAATTAAATGTCAGCATGCAATTTCTCAATAACTACTGAACTATCCAACTAATTAACCCGTTTGACATTATTTTATAACACTAAAAAAAACACTATTTAAATGAATATTCTTCTTGTCTTTTCTTTCAAGTAATTGTCTGACTTTTTTCTATATTGTTTTTAACTTAGGTGAAAAACCTTATATTTGTTTACAATGTGGTAAAGCATTCAGCCAATCGTCAAATTTAATCACACATTCACGTAAACACACTGGTTTCAAACCATTCTCTTGTTTTCATTGTTTACGTGCATTTCAACGTAAAGTGGACTTAAGACGTCATATTGAAACACAACATGGTACAATGAACCTGGGCAAAAAAGAGTATACCACAGAATCAATGGAAACATCTCATCTACCAATGAATATGCTGACAAATGATCATCCAACAAAATCATATCATTTACATCATGACAATAAACTAACACTGAATTCCTCATCCTCCTCATCGTTATCACCTTTACCAAGTATTCTTTCAAGTCCGACTACAACAATTAGTCTACAAAATCATTCTTATTCACCTGATACAATGGATTCGCTGCGTAGTGTTGCTGGTTTAAATTTATCTACTACAATAAACACTAATCAGACGAGTACCAACGCTGGTCATATCACTAATAATAATAATAATGATTGTGATACAGTAAATCCGAAAAATGACCATTTATCTAGTCCAAACAATCTACACAGTAACAATGATGAAAAAATTCTACCTTATTCCGTACAGAATTTACTTAGTTCACTAACCTAGATTAATTTAAAGCAACAATCCAATCAGTACAGAATAACACTCATTACAATTATCCAATCATATTAGTCTGTCATTTATTCTTGTAGAAGAAAACAAAAAAACCCGCACATTTTGATCAGCTGCACCATCACCATGATCATCATCATCATCATCATCACGATCACAATCGTCATGTTGTTGTAATAATACATGAAAGAAAAATGTTGTCAAATTTTTGTGTTTTGATTTTTCTTTTGGCGCGCTAACTTTTATCCCACATCCAAACGTAGTTAGTTAGTTAGTTTTTTTTTTGATCTTTTTCTTTCGTTTTCTTTTTTCTATCTTGATTTCATGCAAAAATTGTAAAGAGGAGAGATTTGAATGAATGATTGAAATTTCTTATAAGAATTCTTAAAAGAAACAGACACACACACACACACAAACACAAACATTTCCAAATCAGTATATACATACATATATTTAGTAATTTTCATTTAATTATTATTGTTATCACAATTATTATTATTATTATTATTATTATTATCTATTTTAGAATGACAGAGAAGATAGAAAACATATTAATCTTTCTTTTTTTCATAGGTTAATGAATTCGATTGTACAGTCAGTCAGTCAGTCAGTTGCATTAAATTATTGTTGATAATTCAAGTAGTTGTTTGTGTTGTTTGTTTGTTTTGGTTAATGTATGGTTTATTTTTGGCTGTAAGTTAAGTGATCTGAGAGACACTTGAAATTTTAACATTCGATTCAGTAGAGAGTTTTGTAGATTGAAGAGAATTTGTCGATCAGAATAAGGATTTATCAGTTATCATGATGGACTATGAAGTTGTAAAGCTTCCATAGGATTCTCTCGAGACTGAATCCTACTGGCGATATCAGCTCTATCAAGCTTACAGATGTGGCTTGTCGATTATTTAGAAGCATAAATGGTAAGTTTCTTTAAAATCCATCTTCTACTAAAAGTACTGATTCATTTAAACAAATGACCACGTAAAGTGAAAAAACAAATTCAATATTATTTCAAAATCTAGTCATATTCCAATTGATTGATGAAACTTTTTCGAACGACTAAAGGTTTATCTTCGAAAACAATATGCGCACAGCTGATGAGTCTCATATTAGGGCAAGACCACCGACCACAGCTTCCAGCGTTTTAATGGTGATCTAACATTGATCAATTCATCTGTACAATGTATCATAATTTAATAACATACTTGTGACCTGTTACTATTGTCAAGGAATTTCATTTTCAATAATGAACAGGTTTTATAGCAATAATTCGAACCAGCAGAGAAATCGTAACGCACTATTAACAAAATATCATCTCATTTTAGAATTCCATATTATTGTGTATTATTTAGTTATGAACAATGATAATTGAATGATCACTGAATATAAGATAACATGAACAGGGATTATTACAAAGAAATAAATCAATCAAAAATAAGTCTTAGTTATTCATTCTACAAATTTTTTAACAATAAATTAAGCAATATTAAACAGGAATCAATCGATAAAGGATTATTTCTTATTTACTAAACAGTCATCTAGTTTGTCATGATTTGAATCATCCGGTTATTGATATTTTGGATTGAATTGTGATCAGTTTTGGTTAGCATTTGATCAAAGTTTATTGAAACGATTAATAACAAGATAGTCAAAATCATAACGAATTAAATTAAAATCCATACCTGTTGCACAAGTAAATGGCCATCTAGGGTAAGCTGTAATCAGTGGATAACACATAGATGTTAAAAAATGAAAGGTAATAGGTTCGAATCCCAAAGTAGATGTTTACTCTAAAATCCAACCAAATCAAGCTGTCGAGTTTCAAATAAATCGATACGTGTATTCGGAATGAATATTTTAGTTAAGTTTAAATTGCTTTTAGTGATTGGTAAAATTTAAAACAACTGAGTGTATCATGAAGAAATTGATTCTTCTCTAGTTGAATGTCCTTGAAAGTGATAAAGATGTCCAGGAGTTTTTACCAAATACTTAAGATATTATGATAACATAAAGACGACATAAATATTTAACCAAGACTTTTAAGCGCTATAACTCAAGATAACATTCTTTCGAAATATCAGTTAGTATTTCTTTTGGAAATAAACAAGGGAAAAAGTTATGCATAATTTAGTTTAATATTGTAATCATGATAAGCTGAAATAAATCAAGTTTCCAATGGAAACCAGCAGGAGCTGAGCAACTGTTAGTAGCTCACAATCACGACCCTGATACGGACGGAATTCATAACCTCTAAATCTCAAGGTATGTCCAGCCCTTAGCTGGATGAGATGACATTCATTAGTCCACATTCCTAACATCAGTTGATGATCCGTATAGAGTGACGGTCAGCGAGTACGGCTGGCGATCAGTTTCTTATTTTCTACATGGTTGAGTTCCAACAGCTCAGTCCATTTAATAATTATTTAGTGGCCGTGAGATCTGAAGGTACTAAGTTCGATTTTTATTTCTGGTAAGATCCTAACAACTGTCTAGTGATCCTTGGTTTTCATTGATGTCGTAATCTTTGTCCACTGGCAATAAATAACATCTAAAACCCTAACCAGTCTTCTTCAAACATTCTGATAATAACAACTTTTCACATTATACCCTCTTATTTCTTGATTACCAATTTCTATACAGATAAAACTTTGTTTTTAAAAGGTTTAGAAAATGTGGTAAAATGATAATGAAATAAAATCATTTTCAACTTAATTAAATTTCACAGATTTGTATTAAATTTCAAATTCAACTTTGATTATTTGTCTGTTTATCGGTCAGTTCTCATACTTATTATATTGCTTGTTAACAAACAAATCTCACTCACTAAATCGGTTAGAAAAGAAAAGTATACTTTAATCAGTTTGTTTTCCCTGTGTGATAATAAATGAAAGCAGAGAATTGTTTCTTCACCTTTGAAATGCTACTGTTCTATGTTATGTGACGTAAATAGACAGAGAAGGATTTAGTCTTGTAATTTGTCTGTCAGTATAGATGAAATTTCTTTTCTTTTCTCGCCTTCTCAACTGACTTTGAACTATTTAGCCCAAGGGAGGAAATAGGAATATTTAAAAATAAAAATAGGCAGTCAGTTGATTTATCCTATTCAAGATATATGTATAAATATAGTACATGATAACAAACTAGAACACTTAGGAAAACAAAAACACACCAATCATTATTCACTTTGTCACAAACTCTTAGGTATTAGACATTTTTCTAAAAGTAAATATCTATTACACATTTGAAATCATCAATCAATCATTGTTAGACCACCATTAGAAACCTGGAAGCACTGGACGGCCGTTTCGTCCTGGTATGGGACTCATCAAATGTGTAAAAACACAAACCTCCAAAACTCTGCCCGAAAATATGTATTAAACTTGAATAAGTTTCCTAAAGAATTTCAAAGAAATAAATATTTTGAAAAATTGGTATTGACATTTAAAATGAAAATGTACATTGGTTTTGTCTATCAGTGATTATAAGTTAATTGATACCTGATTGATCAACAGGTATCTAGTTGAACTACAACTGATCACTGACTTTTTCATTTTATCGGTTGTTTGAAATAAAAATTTGTCATTTTATATCTACTTTTCTTTATCAGTAACTCATTCAGTAATATTTTTATTAAAGTACAATTCGAATTGGTTGAAATAAAATATAAAAATAATCTTATTTTATAGATTGATTGGCGTTGAAAATGCAGCTCATTAAAACTAAAAATAATAATTGGCAAGTATCATGTTAGAAGTCAGAAGTCAAGCTTGTGAATTAGACGTTGAATAATACTAATATTGACGTGTATACTGTTAATGTATATTCCATTTTGAAATCTCATACTAGAATACATAAATTATATAATATTATTTCAAACTGATTTGTAATTGTTAATGAACATCGAACAAATCACTATAGTATTGCAATAAATGATTTTTATTGATAACTTTAATCAGAAAATGTATTTAAAAAAATGAAGCATTTCACAGTGACAATGGAAACACATAAAAATGATGATTAAAACAACACTGAACAGTTTCACACAATAAAATTTAAATTATTTGATATTGACTTTTGCAAATTAATTGATATCATTCAAGAACAAAAAATGTTTGTTTTTCAACATTTCAAACAGTTCAATTTATTTGAAGCGAATGGTAGTAGGTTCGAGTTTACAAGTGGACATCAAACCTAAATTGCAGGTACAGCCAGCTAACAAGTCATCGACATAACGAAACGTATAACCTGAATTTCTCAACTAATGATCATTTATCTCTCGTATAAAAATTTTTTATGCTATCTGTAGACATTGACTGATCGACAAAACTGAATAAACGAAGTTTCACTCAAGAAGAAATATCTTAAAGAAGATAGTAAAAATCTCAACTTTCATTATGTTACTGGTTAGAGTTTGTACTTTCCATCTGGAATGTGTCAAACAATGGAATCAAATATGTACGTTTCCTTTAATAAAAACATATTACTTGACATAATTATAGAATCATTTCATTCAGGATGCATAGAAACCAGCAAAGGTTGATTGGTTGCAATCCTGAATAAAAACAAAGAGCAATTATAGACGGTGACTAATAATTTCATGCTGACTGAACAATTCATTGGTGTCGTGGATGTCGCATTACCATTTGAAGAGTTAGGTACTGGGTTCAATTCTCAGTGTAAAAATGAATACTGAAATGTAGGCATAAGAATCATGGTGTGTTACGAACTCCATTGGCAAATGCTAACCAACTTTCCAAAAACCTATTTGTAGTGTTCTAAAAGACATTAATATAAACTGTCCTCTGTTAGATATACTAATTCCCGTTATTATTTTAGCCGATATAATCGACAACCAACTCAAATAGAAGGCAGTGAATCCTCGACATTTAAACAAAACCTCTGAGAATATTCAACACTATTTATATGGACCATAAATTTTCTTCATGATAAAGAGATTTTTCGATGAATAAATAATGTTACATTATTTTTATCAAATAAGGCTTCATCTTTAACAAATAAGTAAATAATAAATTTCGCACCATTTTTACTTTTACCTCAATGTTACACCTCAGATACTAAGACATATTACAATATTCAATATGTTTACAGATGTTGGGATAAATGCGCGTACGTGATATATATGTATGTACACATGGATGAGTATGAAGTTACACTTTAT